GCAATCTATTGCAACAGACAGACAGCAGACATTAAATAGCAAATTAGTTTGAGATGTCGTTCAAATTCTGAACAGCCCATCAGAGGTTTAGGACAACAAGATGTTCTTTTCCTCCTGCTCTCTGCATCAAGACTTTACTACTCTACCCAAATGGAGGGTCACTCAGAGGGCCAGGCACCAGAGGGACATATTATGAACTGAATAGATGACGGATTCTTCACCAAAATCTTCCTCCAAAAACACAAGAAGAAGAGAATAAACAACTGCAGCAGTTGGAGACATAGGGCAAGAAAAAGAAATACTGAAGAGGCTGTTGCACCCAAGTGAGATGTGTCCTTGGCAGTTTACAAACATCAAGTGAAGCAAGAAGGCTGCAGAGCAGAGACAATCCCAAACCCTGCTCTTGTTGCTGCCTTTTTTTTTCTTTCTGTGCTACAGAAGGTAATAGGAGTCATGGATGCAGATGTGAAAACAGAGACAGTTTGATCTTTCATCACTTGGTTGAGCAACTGATGCAAGATGAAGTATTTACCAGCAGCACCTGTAGCAATAGCCCTGCATGTTGTAATGCTGGCACACCTTGCAGGATTTGGCCCATAACACTCCTGTAAGTGAAAAGTCCTCTATGTTGTGCATTACTGAAAGAGGTCATTATGCTACAGCATAAATATTTACCTATAGTCCTTCCTACAGCTGTTCACCAACAATTTTTCCCTTCAGAGAATGTCCAGACTTCTGGAACTAGGGATACTGTTTATTACTGCAGAAGGAGACGGTCATGGAGGTTCTCCAGCACTTCCCTGTTAGAATACTTTGTTTTCTGAGTTATTTATAAGTCAGGAAAATCTCACCCATTTGGGCTAAGATTTCCCAGGGAAGGCCTGACGGCTGGAGTGTGTGATGGCTCCATGTGTGCAACCTCACAGTTTCTCCAAGCTGGCCGCAGCTCGATAGAGGCTTCAGTTACACCACCACCTGCTATTTTTTTTCCTGCAGAACATGCCTCCATTCAGCACACAAGGTGGACTGTTTTCAAATAAGCAGCAGCTATTCAACACTGTTTCTTCCTCCTTGGCCTTAGGTTTCCTTTTAGAATACACTGGTAAGGAATTTTTTAATTCTGCAATAAAGAAACCGCAGGTTTCAACCAAGCATAAACAAAATGATGTTACTTTTCACACCTGTAGGATATAAATCAGCTCTTCTGAATTGATCCAGCCACAGAAAAACCTCTTAAAAATTAGATAGTCATGGGAATCGTTGTACATATAATTTTTTTGGAAGGTACAGAACATTTGTTTTGATGAGCTACACATAATTCTCCAAAATAAGGAACCATTGTACTTAATAACTGCAATGTGATTTAATACTGATTAAAGTTACTCTTCCAGCATTTGTAAGTCTGTCTGCAGTGTAATTGGCATCCCAAATCTTGTGGTGAGCCACAAAAACTATTAAGGATAGCTAAGAGAGGAAATTGTAGTTTTGCCTTATACTGGTAATCTGCTTTTACTGGCTTACATTTCATGCAGGGGTGTTTTAGAGCAGGATTCCTTGGATCTTTGGGATCCAGGCCCTGCAGCCTGAGAAGACGGGGAAATAAGCAGGGTAGAAACCAATTGCTACCATCTGGTTGGCAAAATCTACGTCTGAGAAGGAAGATCAAAAACATAAAATAAGAGAAGACTCCCTTCCAACAGAGCAGTAGGAAGATGCTAAATTAGGAAGAAGAGGCTTTAGTAAGTGTTATGAAGGAGGAATAGTCTTTTATGGTGAGATTTAAGAGGTTTAGACACAACTCAGAGCCACAGCTCATATTTTATGTGGTCTTGGCCTAATCACCTGGTCTCTCTTTGTCCTAGTTACCATCTGTAAAATCACTGTAATCCACCTCATCTGCACTTGCAGACTGAGAAGTTCTCCAGCCAGGCAATGCGTAGGCACATCTACCAGACGTGTAGAGGCAGACCTAAGTCTGCTCTGCTCGTGCACTCAGCTGGCTGGTTGCAAGCAAGAACTGTCCTGAAAGCCTCAAAGCAACATCCAAACAGGCTTATACCCAAATTATCACATCTCGCAGAGTCCGACCATAGAACTCACCTCGTGTCTGCCCGCCCTCAACAACGTTGGTGGATTCACTGCCCTTTTTACTCTTTTGCAAAATGTCATGGATTTTTGTTGGTTTTCTGTACCATGATGGAATACAGAGATCAATAAGAGTTAAGATTAGTAAGAGTCACACAGCACTGAATGCTGGCAGAGAGGCTGTATATAGCACGGAGGTGACAATTTCTTACTTGCCAGTGGTGTGGCAGAGCTCAGTTAAAAGCACACAGCATAACTCCAAAACCTTTCAAAAAGCTACTGTATATTTTCTAGATATTATTGATCAAATTTCCAGAATGTTTTCATTTCAATATGAATTTTATTCTTTCAAGTCCCAATTTTTAATGAATCATTTAGAATAATGCTATTCTAAATTTAATGTCTTAACCACCTTGCCCATGTCTCACACCTGTGTGGTTTTACATGTTTGGTGTTAGCAGTAAAGCTGGAATAACAGGGTTTTTTCTCCTTTGAAGGAGTGGGCGAATAGAGAGGCCATATGGTTCAAAAAGCCACTCTGCCTAATGAAGTTTGTGCTTTCTAAAGCACAAACAAAAAAGCTCCATCAATTTGATCTTCATTGTCAAAACTGACACGCAGTTGGTCTTAAAACACTGCCTCCTTCTCAAAAATCAACAAGAGATTGATTTTCTCTCAACCAAGAGCATTTTCGCCAAGATGAACACGAGCATCTGGTCAGTGCATTAAATGTCTGGGTCCTTTGAAAGAATAAGTCAGTGATACCTCCTTGTGTTTACTTGCAGAGCTTGACAAGAAAGACACAAGGGGAACATTTGTTTTCAGGGGAAACTCTTCTAGTGAAAAGCAATTGGTTTGAAATACCACATGAACACAACAGTACCACTGGAGATGAGGGATGTAAGTAATCCATCAAAAATGGTCTGAGCAAGAAGAATGCACAATGGTACACTGTGAGACAAGGAAGGAAGGTGCAGAAGAGTCTAGGAGGTACTGGTTTTTACAAAAAGATGCATGGAGATGAACGGTACCTCAGCCCATATGTCTGCCACACAGTTAGATTAAAGTTATCCTTTTCTTGGCACTTGGTGATCAATATTTGTTTGCATAGGGCTCAATCTCACACCCACAGAAGCCAGTGGGAGTTTGCCATTTCCTTCCATAGCTGCCCAAGGAGGCTCTAAATAACTGGTGTTTGTGCCCAGGGTTTTTCAGTGCCAAATATAAAGAACACTATTGTTCTTAACACAATTAAATTCAATAATCCAATTTCCCTGAGTGACTGAATTGGAGTTTTTGTCTCGATCTTTCCTGAATTCTAGTCCAACTCTTACCCTGTGCCTCCTGGCTTTTCCCTTTCATTTGCTTCGGTTGTGCTACCAGGAATAAGGCAGAGCCTTCTTTGACTCACAGATGCCTTGATGCCTCTTTGCCTTGGAATAATGGGATCTGGCTTGACCCCTGAGCTTCACAGAAGATACAGCATGACACAGAAGATCAAAGACTTTGGCAACCTCCACATACTGCAAAAGCACAAGCTGGACAGGCTCCTTTAGCATTCCTTTCTCCCCACCAAACAGTCTGGAAAGTACGTCCAAAAGGAGTGTATATAGACATGACTCTGTATGACTATTTCCACTTCACCATTTTTGTTCATTGCAGCGTAAAGAAATGGGTGAATGTGCCTAAGAAAGAGATGAACAAGGAAAACCAAATCCCCAAACTATGTAAACAATAAGATGACTTTTGCAGCTCTGTCCCACTGATGCTGCAGGGGTCATATCACCAGAGGGTTTCCCTCACCTAAGCATCTCATTCCAGATAAGATATTTACATTCTGGTTTCTATCCTATACTGGCTGTGCAGCAAAGTGCATTCTCCAAGAATCACCCCGCTATCGGGTGATAATCCTTCACCAAGCAGCACCAAGTGTTTGCTACATGCTCTGAGTCCACAGCAGCCCTACTACTGCAGAGGTGAAGAAGAAGAAATAGAACAAAACCAGGCCAAGTGCCAATCAGTAGGCAGCTGGAAACTGCCCCAAACTCTGTCCTCATTTCTACTGTCTCAGAGAAACAGAACTTTGTAGACAATATACTTGGGGTGCTGATCAGGCAATTTGTTCCCTAAGCATCCTCTAACATGCTGATTTTCACCTGGCTCTTTCCTTTCTCACAGACAAGGATCAATGAACATATTTCTGTGGCAGCTGCAGCAGAGGAATCTCTGGTTACCCTGAAAAGAGTCTTTGGGAGTCTTCAGGAATGCTCAGCCCAGCAAGTGACCCCAAAATCTCACTGGTGGGCCAAGCAAGCCCTTTGTAGATGGTCAAAAGCATTGCCAGTGAACCCATGGTCACCGAGACAGTACTTGAAGCTTTTTAATCCTGCCTCCCTCAAGAGGATTTCTCAGGAGCTGAGCATCCCTGGGTTACATGCCAGCTCTGAGCTTTGTTTCAACCCAAATATTATTATTCCTGAAGACACCATGCTTTGCAAAAGCTCAGCACATGGATCTCCCCGCTGTGCATTTTTAAACGGGTGCCTCAACATTTGTTTTGAGAACTATCCTGTTCCAACAGCAAACATAAAGATCAGTGTGACCTCTCCTTATCGCACAGCCTTTCCTGTGTGGAATTCATTGTGATCTGGACCCTAGCGACTATTACATCATTTCTGCTTATTTGTAACCTTTGGCACTGCACAATCTTATCTGCCTGCAGCCGGCTGCAGCAGAAGATGTGCAGCAGCACAGCCAGCTCTGGCAATCCTCAAACACTGGAAAGGGCCAGTTGAGAGCGGAGGTCAGTAAATGATTAGCAAAGCAAATCTGCAATGACTGACAGCTACGCAGACATCAGGTCTCTCCCCTACCCCACAGCAGGTGAGGCGTGGCTCTCCTCCAGCCCTACTCACCAATGACGATGAGGGTGTAGTTCACGTTGGTGCTGCCGAAGCCGTTGGTGGCTTTGCAGATGTAGGTTCCCGCATCTTCGCTTTCCACCTCCTTGATTTTCAGCCCTTGCTGAAGGATCCGGAACCTTGTCCAGCCGCTGTGGATAGTCCGTCCATCCTTCATCCACATGGTGAGGGGTGGGGGGTCGCCTTCCACCGGGCACAGGAGCTTGATGGTCCTCCCCAGCCTCACGGACTGGCGGTGAATCACTTTATCGGCAATCCTGGGGGGCCTAACAAAGCACAAAGAGAGGAAGAGCTGTCATGACTTTTGCCAATGATACAGAACTGATTCAAAGCCCAGTCATCAGTCAGGCCACTGACTGCTATACAGAGATACAGTAAGAGGTGCTAACCAAAAATCACTTACAACCAAGGCTAAAAATGCAGGCAATTACAGAGGGATACAACAACAGGGATACTGGTTTGTGCAAGACCTGAAGCTGTAGCCTTGCCATCAGCAGCAGCTCAGGCTAACCCACCAATGAAGCCTGGTTCTGAGGCTCTTTTGCTTTTCCAAAATTTCCAGCATTTTCCTATCACAAGGAGTCCACTACACAAACTGTTCCACTGTACTTGGTAAAGAAATTGTAGTTGTTTCAAACTTAACACCTATCCTGAAGGCAAAATTAGTAACAGGACTGGTGCTTAAAACAAAACACTGCCCCCTCCCCAAATGTTATAATCCTTTCATGTTGTATGTACAGTAATTCCCTTTAATAGTCACCAGATGGGCTCTATCTGAGACTCATAAGCCTGCAGTTGTTGGACACAGAGCATTCACTGGGTAGTGCTTCACTCAAAGATCCAGTTTAGCCTGACATGTTAACACTGCTTATAGGCCAAAAGAGGATATTTTTATAAATGGCCTTTGCAACCCTGCTGGTTTGACCCGCCTGGCAAATATTTGCTCTTTGTAAAAGGTGATAATTTCATGCAAAGCAGAGTGTCCCTGGAATGCCACAGAGTTGAACACACTGTTTGCCACATGATAACAGGATGCACTTGGACAGGCCAACACTCAGAAAAGAGAAGTGATAAAGATTCCAACAGTGGGAATGGTCCCATAGCTGAATTCCAATCAGAATTTCTTCCTAAGGCTCTGAAAAGTTGAAACAGAGTCTTTCTCCTGCATCTGCCTTTTCTGCCTTTTTATTAATTGCACAAGTTCCCCACACAGACTGCAATAGCAATGCTCTTCCCAGAATAGTCTATTAATGGGTGTGATAATAATTGCCCTGTTCTTGCATAAGGACAAAATGTTTTGCTAAGGATTGCTGATGCTGAGTTGCACCCAAAACCCACAAGATGTTTGTGGGATTTGGAACTGTTCCCTCATATTTTACTCCTGCTCCTAGTGTTTTGCAGGATTGGACCCACAGGGGATAAGCTACAGCGCTCATATTTGCACTTCCTCATGACTAATTCCCACTATTCCAAAGTCTGCCTGATTTTTCCCCAGCATGACTAAGGCAGTACATACAGTCCAGCTCATGAATGACTACAGAGCTGCTGTCGCAGTTACTCATGTTGAATCGCACCCACAAATTTTACAGCTTTGCTGGTGAGCAGAGATGCTGCTCAAGCTGAGAAAAGAGTTGTGAACTAGGTTGAAACTCATTAATGAGTTTAACTAAGAGTCTGGTTAAATCAATGGGTCTTACAAACATACAGATTCTGATGAACTTCTGATGACTCAAAGCAGGGATCTTGAGAGCACCTTTCCTGAAAAATTCAGTCCCTAGAAAAGGTAACACCCACCCCTGCACACCTTCTGCACTCCCTGTGGGACAGCATCTGAGCCAATGGTGTCTTCCCAGACTCCAAGGGAACTGGCAAAACAACCATGAGAAATCCTGCCTTTCCAGGTCTTTCTAAGCACTCCAAACCACACTGTTAATGTTCTTCACCTTGGAAGACCTCCAACCAACTCTGTGGTTGGAGAGATAATCCCAAGATCCTTCGAATGCTGGTCTGACACAAGTCACGCTGCTGAATCTTTTAAAGTGGAAATCCACCCATCAGGAGAGGCTGTGTGTGATAAAGCAGAATTCACCAACTCTGGGTGAGGATCCAGCCCGAAACTCAGCTACATTTCCCTATAGGATGTAGTGTCTCACTCAGTGCACAGCAGTTGAAATGTCCACAGGCTTGCTGAAATTCTGGGTTGGCCCTTGGAGAGGTCCTTTCTGACCCAGAGCCCTACCAAGCCAAGTCAAATTTTAAGAGTAGCTTCACTGCAAGCTGCTTGTGAGCCAGGATACTACTCCATGCATATTCAAATGACAAAAACAGATCTATAATTAGTGTTGGGGAAAAATGTTTGGTGCAGGGCAAGCAGGGACAGTGAGAAAGAGCAGCCTCCTCCCAGCTTGGAAACCTGCTGTAGCTCCTTCAAAACCCCTTTCCTTCCGACATTCAGGTTGACTCCTGATGAATTTTGAGACCTGGAGGAATCAGATAGTTTCCCAGTCATGTCATGTGCTTCTCTGGGTCAGGCTGCACGAGTAGCGCTCCTGATGGCACCAGAGTTGCCTCTGGATCTGTCACATGTTTGGGTCAGCAGTAAGCTTGGTCCTCCTAAATGCCATTTTCCTTTGATTGACCTTTCGTTCTGAGGAATTGCTGGATCACTCTCTGTCACAGGATCTATTCGCAGACCTTTATGACATTTAGAAAAGGGTGTGTTTCTTAGAGCCTTTCTGCCTGAAAAGAAAAACACTGGTGCAGCCCTTCATTAGCTCCTTCAGTAACTTCCTTGGGAAGAGGAATAAAAGCTTCCCCCCACTCTTCTTCCTGCTGTGAATCTTGCGAGATACAGCATGCACTTCTCAGTAGGGTACAGTCCTAGGACAAAGATGCTAAAGCCTTGCTTCTGTTCATTTAGTGCTGTAAATACTCCAATTTTATTACCTATCATCTTTGCATCAATAACTTTCTGCTCAAGCAGTATGCTCTGGAATCAGCACCTTCACAGATGCCAGAGGCTTCAAAGGCCCTGGCAAGCTAGTGGTAGCTGGACCTCCTAAAGCTGAGCTACAGCAAGAATAAAATGATATCATCACAAAGCTCTGTCTCTCTTTCTCATGCACAGGCATTCATTGGGTCTTATTTCACTACATATCTGTAGAGCCCTGTCTCAGGACTGCAACAGTGACAAATGAATGCTCTTCCAGTCAAGACACACTTTGGCACATCCTGACACTCTGTGCTGTCAGTATTTGTAGGGGAGGCAGGGGAAAGGGGAAATGTGTTTTGCAGAAGGGCCCTTCTCCAGTATCCCCTGGGCAGTTGGCACTGCTGACACAGAGCTGCCTCACACAAGGTACTGCAGAAATCCCACATTATCCAGGCAACAACATCTTCCCCCTATGAATCCTGAGGCTCTGAATACACTGAGCCACCCAGCACCACTCGGGTTCTCCTGGAGATTAATGTCCACGGTTTCTCTATGCCAGACCCATCTTTTGCTCTTTGAACAGAGCAAAAAAGATGTAGTAAAAACATGCTGAGCCCTCGATTTCCCTCGTGCAGCACTGGCACTGACGGGAGCTCCTCACCTTCCAGAACTGGTCCATAATATACCAGGAGGTGTTCAGGAGAGCAGAGTGCACAGTCAGCTCTCTCAGGGCACTGATTTGGGAGTGTCCCTGGTGTCTGATCCTGCAGGGCTGGGGCACGTGTGCGCTCACAGCTGAGTGCAGTGGTGCAGGAGCAGAGCCCAGGGCACAGTGCACAGCCCCACAGGCTGGATACATTTCTACAGCTGCTTAGAGAGGCAAAATCCCAGGAAAGCACCTGCTGCTTCACCTACAGCTGCCAGTGAGGTAAAAACAGACTGAACTCTGGCTGCTGCTGCCTTCCCATCCCTCACTGCTGCCGGCGTCTGTCTGTGGCTCTAACGCAGCAGGCAGATGAAATTACTCCTTGAGCAGCCACTGTTATGACCTCTGCTGTCCTAGACTCCAGCTTTGTGTTGTGTGTGAGCAGAAAAGATCTAATGTAGAGAGATATACCCTCTGGCTGCTCCCTATAGCACTGCCCTTGCCTTGTTTGTGGGCAGGGCAACACCACAAGAACTGGAGAGCAACAGGCATCATTCTGAAACCTGAAAACATTTTGTTAAATCATTGTTAAAATTGTGACTTCATATATTTACCAATGCAAAATGAATGCTAATATACACCATCTCTCTGGCTGGGGAGGGGATCCTGTGAATTGGATTCTTTCAAGACAGAGAAGCAGAGAGCAGTGCTCTCTGGTCCTGGGTGTAAATCTGGGGAAGGAGTCCCTATGTCATGCTACCCCCCTTTCTTTACCATTAGGCAGCAATTCCTGAAAACATCAGCTTTTTTAAGTGCTGAGATTCTGTAATCTGTGATGCTCTTGGACACAGAAATTACTTCTTCCAGCATTTTTCTATGGGATGTGGAAGAAGGGGACAGAAACAACGCTCTAGATAGATATTCCATCCAAATTACTGACACATACATTTTCATAGTCAGGGAGGGAGGGGGAATGGCGAGAAGGGAAAACAATCATCATTTCTTACTTCCACTCTTGCAGTTTTTCCCCAGGCAAAGGCAGCTTTCTGTAGCCACAGGGCACTGCTTTTAAGCCCCACCTTAACACAAGCCCAGTGGGGGCAGGTTTTCTTCAGTCCCCCTTTTCCTCAACCCAACAGTTTGAGGGAATCATTCCTTAATACTTTGGCTGAGGGGGAAGGGTGGGGTTTGACATCCGCGGATGTGACTTGGGAAGAAGTGACGAGAATGCAGCTGCCTCCCCCCTGTGCTTGGTTGTTATTCTTTCTCCAAACACAAACTAAATATAACTTTGCCCCATAACATTCAAATCATTTTAGTTACTAGAAGGGATCATGCCTGGAGTTCCAAGGGGCAGGGTGCAATCAGGCTTAAAATACAACTTAAACAACCCAGAACCTACATTTTCCACCAAGTTATTTTCTTGCTTGTAGTTTCCCCATCTGCAAATACATATAAACACACCCAGAAAGAAACCAACAAGCCCAGCCAGATGCCAAGTTTTCTGCTCATGATCATATAAACTCAGTCAAACATTAACAAGGAAATGCCATGATCACCTCATTTGTTTTAAATATTTCTGCTCATATACATGGAGACAAGTGTGCAGATTTATTTGCCTCATTTACGAATACAAGCAACTGGAATCTCCATTCTGTTCCATTATATAAAAGACAGATCCTACACCTGTCTTACTGAACAGCTGGGCAATTTTCAATTTATATCCACTATCCTACACCACAGAAAAGTCCCGCTTGCTGCTCTGCTGCTGACACTGCTTTACCAGCATTCCTGCTCTCTTCCCCAGTGCCTTGGAAGGGATGGTGGTTGCCATTTCTTGGCAAGAGGAGTTATGTAAAACCCAAGAAAGCCTCTTTGCTTTAGCAAATAGCTATTTCCGGGAAGCAGCAAAAACAATTTCTAGGAGTGTATTTAAGGCACAACAGTGGAATAACCTGGAGCTTCCTGTCCATATTTCTCACAGTCAAAAACACACACACGTATAATTATATTTTCCTGGACTGCATTGCAAAGTTCATGCACTCGTTCAACTCATACATGTAGTAAACATGATTTACAGCTCTGTGTGAAAACCCTCTAGATATATGGTGTTTTGATAGTGACTCAAACCTAGTGCTATAATTTAGTAACACCTAGCAGTGAAAGCTAAATGATCTCCCACTCCACATTCCTAACTTTCCATGAACCCCTTTTTACTGCTAACCTGGGGAGGAGATGCCGCTTCTACAATTGTTTGGACTCAGCCTGGCTATTCCTTCAACTAAACTGCACACTAACGTCAGGCTTCACATATGGTGAACGCACCAGCACTGACCCACGTCCTATGAGACCATTTGCCATCATACAGTTCAAAGTGAGCTTTATTAACACATTAAACATAATTACAAAGAGGAAATTCCAAGGAAGGTCAACAAGCCTGGACAGTTTCTTGGAATGGAAAGTAATTTATAATATCCACATACTGTATTGTAAAGTTTATAAAGAAGTTAAATAAGTTTTAAGAGCCCCATGGGTTATGTATATTTTATTATTTAATACCAAACACATTCACTTTCCATGTCGATAAGATTTCTTTTGAAGTGCTGTGTTAGCAAATTAGCAAAGTCATTTACCAAGAAGCACCCAAACAACCCAACAACATGCATGGGATTAGCATCAGGGGCTGAGGTACCAAAGGCAGTGTGTTCCTACAAGGAGAATACAGCCAAGTACAGAAATCTTTCATTACAATAGTGTGATGAAGGAATTGGACAAGCATCACCAACCAAACTGCTTGTTCAGTGTGAACACAATCTCTTATACCAGCACTTGAGGCAACATTTGGCCTTCACCACACTCATCACTGTAAAACCCGAACCGCCAAAGTCCTTAGTGCAAGGGTGGTTCACAGCAAAGTTGATTTCTTTCACCTTTCCCATGCTTCAAAATAAACACAGCTGGGAAGGACCACCTAAAAGCCATGT